ACACAACGTGGTGCGATCATCCCCCTTGCGCGGAGTGAGGGTTCTGGACCCCGCACAACATGATCTACGACCATTATTATTGTTACCGCCAAAAAAAAAAAACGGTAACCTGGTTGCCGAGTTCACGAAGTGAATTGGCTTGTTTTACAACGTCGTTGCCAGGCGACGAAACCCAATCCCGATGGCAAACACCGGGGGGGGGCGGCTTGTTTTACAACGTCGTTGCCAAGCGACGAAAACCCAATCCCGATGGCAAACACCGGGGGCGGCGGCTTGTTTTACAACGTCGTTGCCAAGCGACAAAAACCCAAGCCCCACGGCAAACACCGGGGGGGGGCGGGCGAGGGGGAAGAGAATTTCATGGAGACGGGAGTGAAGAAGTAGGTTTGGAGTTCGGGTTGGAGGTTTCGGTTGGTGGTGGCGATTCTTGGTGGGCTCTGAGTGACGATGAAGCGGAGGTGTAAGCCTTTATTTTCGTGAATAGGATTCATTGGTGTAAATCAATGGGGGTGTCGAAAGGAGTGGGTGGTGTTTCGCATATGGACGGCGGGGTCGAACATTTTCGTGATGGAGAAGGTGGTAACAGCCGGCGTAACAATTCCGTGAGGTTGTTTGTGACGGGAGCCGTTGTGCCAATGTACCAATAGCTGCGCATCCACCGCACCATACGACAGTTTTACTGACAAGAAATACGTCCGGGGCATAGCGTGCTTGGCTTCCGGTAAGATTTAAGGAAACATCATGCGCTGAATTATCGGTGCCAGCTACAGCAGTGGGGATACGGTGAGGTCGAACCTGGTCGATGCAATGTTGTGCGAGGGGGTAGCCTACTGTTTTTTTCTACAGGCCGGTGTTGTTGGAGGTCTTTGCGCACGGGGCGATGGTGATTGTCGTTGGGTTTCCAAGTACGGTGCGGTAGGCCTTGACGTCTCTCAAGGAGATCGACAGCAGTGGGCCACAGCCGGCATGCAAGCGTCGAGTAGGTATCATGCGCTTTCGCTGGCGACAAAGTTGTAACAATTTGTTTTGGGCGTTTACGCTATCGATTGCGAAGGAATTGGAGGCCACGCCATTACTATGGAATTGTCTGCCCTCCTCGACATTAATACCCCGTTGTCAACGTTCATGTTCCGTGATCTGAGTGACTCCGGTGTCTACTAGGTGCCCGCTCTCCGACATCGGTCCAGTCGTGTACTGCGGTATCACTGTTTTGTCGCAGATCCTCAGGCGTGAGTAGCTCTCTGTGTTCTTGCCATGGCTAGGCATTGCTTCCAACCTAATGCCCCTTCTTGCCCGGCGCCATTGAGAGTCGAACCCTTGTGCGAGTCATGAGATGGGCACAGGAGTGATTTCACGCAGAGACCGAAACAATTAGGTTCCTCAGTAGATTTGGAGGTGCAGTCGCTGGCGTTTCAACGAACATGCGCACAGTGACTAGGGCATCCGAGTTGCACGCGCTACCTGACACCAAGCTCTCCTCACGGCAGATGAGTAGTATTGTACACTACACGTTGTCTCAGTTCCCGTGCAACTGCTTCTGGAATTACTCGACGCCTTTCAATGTCCTCTTCGTGGGTTGCGGTTGTAGTTTTTCTGGACCGCCCTTTGATAGCTCGGCGTCTCATCGCTGCCATGTAGAGTCACCCCTTGACCGACCAGATCATCGGAGGAAACTCTGTTTCCCATGTTTTGGTCTACAATATAGCCGGGTGCTCTCTCTCTCTCTCTCTCTCTCTCTCTCTCTCTCTCTCTCTCTCTCTCTCTCTCNTTTTCTGGAACCCCCCGTGAGCGCTTTGTGGGACCACACACGCTCACTCTTGTTCTGCCCTAACTTAGCACACTAGACCGATCGGGATCCTGCACCGTGCATCTGAGTTCGAGAGCATCGAAGCTTCCGGTGACAGAAGTGGCACTGCGAGCTGCCAGGCGAAGACGTTCGGCTTCGGATCTTGTACGGGGCCAGACTCGCTACTGTACCGGGCAAGCAAAAAAAACCTTTGGTAAGCAGCACTTTCGCGCGAGGCAAGACATGAGCGTCTAGGCAGACATATGCAGAGTGCAATCTGCAGCGAGTAAGGTTTGAGGCGTATCCACCATACATGACGGTTGGTGTGCAGAGGATATCTCACGTCATGTCATGCTGATTCTGCGCTTTCCGCCACCGGCGGCTGAGTTTGATCCGCCTCCGATCCTCTGTCGTCAGCTCTCATGCAGCAGCAGTGTCGGTACTTCGGTGAGCTACATACGAAACTCCCCACGGGCTTTTCGAAACAATTACTACACTGGCAGCATCCCCCCGCGGAAAAGAACGAGAGTAGCGCCCCTGGCTTGTGTCTCATATGTATTTATCCAAAGGTAGGCAAGCAAGCAACACCCACGGGCGGAAGAGGAACCGGCCAACCAGCGGGTGAAAATAGTGGCATTCGTATAAAAAAATTCCCACAAAGAACGTCCATGTGGAAAAAGGGGCGGAGAAAAGAAGCGGTCAAAGAACAAAGGCCAACCAAAGAACAACAGCACAGCGACATGCCGGTGTTCCCCCGTCCCCTGCCTTCAATCCCCTGCCATGGACTATTGCTGACTCTCTTTGGCTTTAACCAACCAACAATGTACCGCAGACGCCCACGTGATGATGGAAAAGACAGCACCTGCCATGCTCGCTGGCAGAGGGATTATGGGATATTTTGCGATATGTACAGGATCCGGCTCTGGTTGCCCTTGTCAGCAGTAAACCAGGGACACCCGTTTTGTGTTGAAAAATAACGCGTGGTTTTTCATGTCTTCCGTTGTCAGAAGATGAGGGCTTGGATGCTGCTGCTGCTCTCGGTGCTCCTCACGTTCGGAGCACACGGCATGGCCATCAACGGGCCGGCCAACGCCACCCCCGAGGACAAGTGCTGCGCTGCACTGCTGGTGGAGGGCGAGGCCGGCTCGCTGGACGCCTTTGGGAAATACCGCCTGCCCACTCCTTGGTGAGAGATTGAATTGATTGCCTCGTTCAGTTGGTCCCGCTGTTAGATGACCTGTCTAAAAATACTGTGTGGATCGTGCAAATGCGTTTTTTCATTCTCTCTGTGTGTGGAGGGTGCCTGCTGCGCCCTGTCCAACCAGCGGTCGTCAGTACATACATTCTGGTGCAGTCCATGACATGTTCTACACTGTACTGTCCGCGTTGTTCCCTGCGGATGTCGCGTGCGTCACATCTACAGCGGTGGAGAGCTTGCCGTGGCCTGCCCCAAGCTCGGATTCAACGCGGCAACACTCCACAACGACGGTTCCATGACCGCTAGCTGGCTGGCGTTCCGGCAACAGGCCGACCTCCGCCTGGCCCCTTCCTGCTCGCCGATGGAATGGGAGAAGAGGTGCCCGCCCGGGGCCACCATGCTCCTGGCGGAGAAGCGGAGGGGCGGGTGCCGCGCGGCCGGCTGCGTTGCGGTGGGCGGCGAGCTCAACGACGTGAGACGTTTTCAGCATTTTTTTCTCGCCCGATGTGTGTACAGCAGTCAGTCAGTGTGATGAGTTTTTTGCTGCTGCACCTGTGTATTTTGAGATTTTTTTTTGAAGCATGTTTATAGCCTTGCTATAGACGACCGCACTTCTACAGCATTGATGGACGTTGCAGATGGCTTGACAATGTGTGGTGGGTGGCATGGTGCCTGCTCAACATTAGAGTGTACTAGATAAGCCTCGTTAGCCGTCAACGCCTGATGATGCTCAGTCTGCCTGCTGTCACCGCTGAAGAAATACTGGGTTTGCTCCTTGCTCCGCAAGAAAAAATTGAAGACTGCATTGCTGCACCAGCAAATCAACATTCCGTGATTGCCGAAAGTTATTTGCCCGAAGGTTTTCACCCGTTGCCCGTTCAACTCTCCCATCGTTTTGAATTGATTGTCCGGAAGTTGAACGGACGAACGGACATTTATTTTGCAGCAGCATTTGTGAGACCGCTCTCTCATGAAGTATTTCCGCTCGCTCTGTATGCTGCTTTGCTATGCCGCTACTGCTACTTGACGAACGGGCAGGACAACGACGACAACGAGATCCTGCGGGCGGTTACGGCTCAACAGACCGCCCTCCTTAAGGCCGCGAAGCCCGCCATGCCTAAGAGCTTCTACCAGCACGTCGCGGGCCGGCAGCGGGCGTACGGAAAGGCGAGGAAAATGTACAATGGAAGAAGAGAGGACGTGAAAAAATGGTCTGCACACGATGTCGAAGAGCTTGTTCGGGTTCAGCTATACAGTCAGTCAGTCATCAGTCAGTCGAATACTTGTTAGACGTTCGAAATTTCACTCGTCCTTTTGTGGTGCCTGGCTCTCTCACCGGAGAGATAGCTGATGCACTTGTGTTGCTTTTTGCATAGTGCAGCTACATAATATTCGCCGTCTTCCACTTTCAGTAGTCACACCGGACCGAGAGCAACTACTGGTTCTGGTGTGTACTGCTGTTGATTTACTTCCGTTCGCAGCTTCGCCGCTTGTAAGGAAAACGGCAGAATTAAACTGAATCGTTGGTACTGGGTACTGATCTGAGAGATAGGTCCATTAATTAAATAGTTGTCACCACCGAGATTCAATATTTTCGTGCGAGAAAAAACTCAAGAACGATATTGTTTGAACACATATTTCCACATCGGCACGGGGATCGAATTGTTATGGCATGGACCGCAGAGTAGTAGCAAGAGGATTTGGCCCCTCCGCTTTCGGCAGTACCGTCGGACGTTTACTACATGAACAAATAGCAATGTTTCGTTGTTTTGGGCACTTGCTGCGAGCAGAATATTTGGATTATTGAATTTTTGAATATTTGAGAGACCACCAGATTTATTGTCAAATGCACGTGTCTGTGCCCTGCTGCAATCAGACGAGAGGCCCAGAGAACAACAGTGAAAACATCAACCACAGCTAGCTAGCTTGAGACTCCGAACGAAGCCTGAACAGAACGAAAGCTCTCAGCAGGGAATAACTATTCTGTAGTCTATGCGTATTTTCCTCGCCTTTTTTTTCCGCCCGCCCCCGCCAAGATAATCGACATATATATAAGATAGATAGATGCGTACACACGCACCAACCATATCTTCGTTGTTGCTCCTTCTTCTGTGACATTGGGCAAATATCAATCCCCCCCCCTCTCCCCCTCGTTCGGTCCACTACGTACGCCTTTCCCTTTTGTTCAGGACGAGAAGCGCTTCGGGAAGAGGCTGGCAAAGGCGATCAAGAGCTCCTCCTCTGGCGACGTTGAAACGGTCCGCGAGCTCGTGGAGGAGGCCGCCACGAAGGGTTTCCGCTCCGTCGCCATCGACGAGGCGGCGACGGCTGTCTTCAAACAGGAGCAGCAAGAGAGGGTCCTCGCATTCTTTAGGTGAGAGATGTGTGCAGACGCTGCTCGTCTTCCGTCATGCGTTTGATGGTTCTTATTGCCTTCACACTGATGGCATGTGGTGTGAGACCCAGTAGTCATCCGTCGCCCCCAAAAGAAGCGGGCAATGAATACCATACGCAAGTCTTTTGGAGTGCTTCCTGCATGCTTGGGTCTCTCGGTTACAGGGCTGTGGAACAGGTGCATTTTCACGATGCCTTCTCGCCGTTCCTTTTTTTTTTCGTGCAGCACCCGCTCCCCCCCCGCCCCCAAGTCTTGAGCATGGCTTTGACATTGTTCGTGGATGTATTGTATGTGGTGAATGCTTCCGCAGAAGCCCAACAGCGGGGTTCGTATTCCGACATGAGATCGTGCCATGGGCCATTCCCGTGTGTGCAGGTTTCGATTCTCCCACGTACAACTGGAGCACTATCGTTTCTTACATACAGCGTCTCACAACACTTATCCGTGCTTTGTTGCATTCATCCTGTTCCCATTCTCATATTATCGACCAGGAGTCTTCCCGGCGCAGTTGTCGACTACGTCTCGACCACTTCGCTGGATGCTGCGGTAAGTTCTACATCGCGGATCATATGCCGAATGATGCATTGCTTTACAATAGTATGAGGATGGACAACTGTTGAGAAAATCCCTCAGACACGCGTCCTCTCCAGTTCTCGAGAACGCCTCAAGTGGTTAACCTTGCTTCGTGTGTGAGAGTACAGGTGCTATTTTAGTTGATTCGCTGAGTCCTGATGCTTATCGTGGATACAGAGAGCCGCGCAGCCTGCGTTATTGTCCCGTGAGCTGTAGGGTAAGGGGTGAGCTCAGCGGTTGTAACAGTGCCGAACCCCTGGGGTGGTGTCGACGATGTAACTTGAGATTCCGCTGTTTTGAGTTGTGCCCGATGCGTAGAAACGTCGGAGCGATGTTGCGCCTGAAGTCTTGGTTGGTTACATCGAGAGCATTTTGTTCCCTCGTGGCTGCACCGAGAAGCGTTCTTTCCACGTGGTTCTTTCGACGTGTCTCCCCTACTAGATACCCCGAACATTCACCCCATCCTGCCACACCCTCTTCCGCGCGCTTCCTCTTGTCCACCCACCTTACCACCAGAGGCGCTCGAACGCCTTGAAGGCGAAAATTGTCAAGCTGAAAAACACCGTCGAGGACCTCACGAGGACACTGCACAAGAAGGAGCTCATCTCAACGGCTCAAGCGGGCGCCTTCAGGGCGGAGCGGGCCAAGTCGGAGGCGGACCGCAACGAGGCGGCTGCCGAGGCAAAGTACTTCCGTGACGAGGTGGAGGCGCTCCGAGTCACCGTCGATTACGTGCTGGAAACGGCCGCCTCCGACCACGAGACGTCTGCGAGGACGGAGAGCGACCTCGTCGAAAAGCTCGACACCGCCGAGGGCATCGTCGCCGCCCTCACCGACACCGTCGCCGAGCAGCAGCTGGCGGCCCAGAAGGAGTCTGAGCAATCGGACCTCTCCCTCCGCCTGGTCGAGCAAGAAGCGGCCAAGGCTCGAGCATCCACGCTCGCTGTAGGAGAGGAGCTTTCTGAAGCTGAGCAGCGCGAGATTGAGCTCCAGTGCCTCCTGGACGTGGGCACGGACACGAGGAAGGAGCTGGAGGATGAACTGGCCTTATGCCAGACGAACGTAAGCAGCCGACTTGAGAGTTTTGAGAGCATTTCATGCTTGGCACTGCTACTGATGCCTGTATCGTAGCCTGGCACAAAGACAGCCATACATGCGGCAACCCAATCACAAAACCCATCTCTCGCTCACCCTCCCTCCCTCCACTGCAACGTCTCGACTGCCGCCACTCGATGTACCGACGTAGGTGGACGAAGCTCGCGCAATCGCTGAGTCCTACGGTGCCGACATCGAGGACCTGGACTCCCGCGCTCTCGCGGTCGCCCTCGCTCTGGCCGACGACGTCTCCGAGAAGGCGTTGATCGTGGAAAGCCTGGCCCACGTCGCGCAGGGAGCGGTGCTCGGTGCCACGCCCCCGTTCAACGACGCCGACCGCTGGGGCTCGCACGCGGGCTATCCAATGATCCGGTGCGTGTTGGTGTGCCATCGATTGCGATTGCAAATGGGAAGCACAGGAGTAGCAAGTTTCCGTTGGTGTGGTATTGGTGATTGCCGTTACGTTCGTTGCGCGTGCTTGGTGATGGTGGTTGTGGTTGTTGTCGGGGTGGTCAGGTGCCGTCTTGATGATGTGTGCAATATGGCAACTGCACAGAATTTTCATGCAGAAACACCAATTTTTAAGACGTGATTTGATGTTAACAGTCATGACCCCTCCCCCCGCCGCCGCCGCCGCGCACGCCTCGGCTGCTCTGCGGCACGTTGTCCTGTAGATCCCACTTGGAGGCCATGCAGCGACTGGTGTTGACGACTACGTCTACCCTGATGGAGGAAGTATCATGCTGCGAGCACGACAAGGCAGAGGCGGTGAATCGCGCGGCCAAGACGCAAGAGCGGATGAAGGAGGTCGAGGACGACCTGGCAACCTGCGACATGAACAACGACAGCGCTCCCGGCGGCAGCAGTACGGACGACAGCACCCCCGACGACGGCACCACCGACGACAGCAGCTCCGAGGCCAGCACCAAAGACGACAGCACCACCGATCGCAGCATCAGCGACAGCAGCACCAGCACCAGCACCAGCGACAGCAACACCAGCGACAGCAGCACCAGCGACCTCACCACCGGCAGCGACGCCGCAAGCGACCGTACCGTGACGGACGTGAACACCGGCGAGAACGACACGGACACGGCCGGCGCGGGCGAAGCGGTGGACGGAAAGGGGGTCGACGATGACGGCGGCGAGGGGGACGTCGACGGAGAAGAGGACGCCTACGTGTTCAGCAGGGGCACCAACCCGCCTACCCTAGACGGGGTTTGACCTCTCCTGTTGTTTCGTTGTCCTTGTTGTCGTGTGTTTGTGGTCGTGGCAGCTTGGCCTGGTTTTGGTTCAGAGCTGTGCGTTGCAAGCCCCGTCGTGAAAGAAAGTGTGGAGTGTTTCCGTTACATGCGCGTGCGGAATCTGTTTGATCTCGTGACAGTTTGGTTGGCATGTAGTAGAATCCTGCATGTTGTTGAGTGCAAAGTTTTGTCCTTCTCTGGTGTATATCGTTTTGTAGACGCCGCCGACGCCGACGTTGTGTGCCTTTGGTGGTGCTGCCCGTGTGCTGATTTATTTTTCATTGCTGCCCCTAGTGGAACAGCATTTATTTATCGGTTGTCAAGAACGAGTTTCTTTTTCCGTTCAAGCTCGGGGAGTTTGCCCCGCGTGTGAAACTTTCAAACTCGAAACTGCTGGGTGTTCAGTGGTGCCGAACTGTTGTCGAGATTGCGGCTATGTCCCGGTGTTGGTCCGTTTGCTTGCTTGACATGATCTTGGCGATAAAAACCCGGTTAACTGAACTGGCGTTCCGCAGCTCTGTCAAATTTTGCTGCCGATCGCGGGAGCATCCGCACTGCACTACGTGTGCTTCGCGTGATCTCCTGCTGATCGCGGCGAATATTATTTTGACATTTGAGCGCGTGCGTGGTGTCTTTTTTCCCGTGGTTGGTGATCGACTTGGTTACGTAACGGGACGCGAGCTTGGGAACAGTTTTGATTTCGAAACGAGAGGATTGCACGGACTTATTTCCGGAGGTGCGTCGCCTCGCGTGGTTGTTGACTTCTTCATGACTGCCGGGTTCATGTTTCGTTGTCTATGAGGAGTGGCCGACTCTTTTTTGCACGACGAGCCCAAGGTTTCTGTCAAGGCAAGACAAAGCTTGATGACGGGATTCGTTGCCTGGAGTGATGGCACTCATGATAAACGCATCCCGTCATTTAGTTTTGTGGTGCCTTGAGAGCGACCTCCAACCCATCCTGGTCAGGGCCGCATGCATCTATCCGTGACAACGTTTTTTTGTCTGCATCGAACCAAAGCGCGACGGATCGGACAAAAAAATATGTAGATGCATAACTACCGGTGTTCGTGGTTGCATCTGATGTGGTGTTTTTCGTTCTGGTGTGACGTCAGTTTTGCGCAACGTTAACGTTTGGTGCACCACAAGCCGGGTTCGCAGTGACGGTGTGTCGTTGTTCACTTTCGTTTTCCTTTGAGGTCTGTTGCCTTGATCGTTTTCACGACACGAGTTAGTTCCGCCTCTACACACCGTACAACAGTCTACCTTTTGTCTGTTCACGGAGCCCTCCGCAATGGGGTCCATGATGACCGCTGGGCATCGCACGAGGCGTCGAAAGGATCATCGTAGGCTCTCCGGTGTGCTCGCATTTCGACGGGACGGTTGCATACACGGCACTGGTGTGTGGTGGTAGTTGTGTCTGCTGGGGTGATTTTTTTTTTTGGCGAAACAAGTAAGACTGGCACCGAGAAGTGTCAAAAACTGTTGGTTGAGGAAAGCGTGACACTTTCCAAATGAAAGAAGATGCAGCAGAGAGGGCGATGAAAAAACCCAAGTGCACGCGAGCCTCTCATATGCCTGCTCACGGGGGGAAGCTTGTTTCTGTCCATAACATGGGTATCATCCCTCAGGAACAGGTGCGAGCATTGTCCAGGCTGACTTAAGTCACCGTTGATGGTCGCATTGCACACCAGTCGACAGGCGGCAGGTTCGCGTCTTCGATCATGCTGCCGACAAACACACGGACAACCTGTGCCGTGCTGCGTTCGCAACCTTTCCCACGCGGCCATGCGGCGGCACGAACCATATTGCCGTCCTGGCAACCATCAAAATAATTGTGGACCCGTCCGTTAACGATGTAAATTTTTCGCTACTAAATCGGCTTACAATCACACAATGACCGGCGCGTCGGAAGCGGCAGCAGCATGGTTGTCATATGTTTTCGCCGGCTAAGCCTGTAGCCAACTACTGTAACTACTAGGGTTCTAGAGTTCCATAGTCTCAGGCACCCTACCGCGCAACAAATAAAACGCACTTTGCGACACACCCGCAATGGCAAAACAGCAACCAAGAAGAACAAGCATCAGATGGCAGTGTGCCGAAGCACGAAAACCCCATATGGGCAGGGCTCGTCTTCGCCTACAAATGCACAAGCCCGACTGCGAACTCGGCGCCGTTGAATCCAAACCACCGTAAATGAGACGAACGCGTTCGTACGCAAGACGCATAAGTCTACACACATGCGAACGCTATCACTACTGCTACGTACGCGTCCCTTTGTACCGCTGCTTGTCGGAAACCGAGTTCTCTTGCTGTCGTGTTAGGTACGAGTTCGGCGTAGTCTCAGCGGCAGCAGCAGCAGGAGAGAGCTTGTCTACTCTCACTCGACGGCGTGTAGGTGCCCTTTCTCGATGCCAGGGTCCCGAGACTACATTGTCATCGATGGTGGTACCAAGCTGCTGTTGGCCTGCGGTGGCGCGGCACCCCTTGCCTTTTGTCTCTCAGAACAAGCCCTTGAGCTCCTCGATGATCGCCAGGATCTCGGGGTCGTCTTGGTACTTGGACATGGCGCTCATGCCGTTCTGGGTAACGTCTTGGATGGCGGCCATGACCTACGTGCCGTCGCGCACGCGGCACCAGGATATAAAAAAGGAGTAGAGGAACCACGCAACAATAACAAAAAAATGGTCGTCACATTTGAAATGCACACGGAGGGACAAGGGAACATGTCGCCGTATGCTGATCATCAAGAGTTGTTTCACCGCATTTTCAGTCTCCCTTTCCCACAATCGTTGAACCCCCTCGGCATACTGTGTCCTAACATGGTCATGGCCTACGTCTGTGAGAAGGCGGGTGCACGGTGAGCCAACCCAACTCTCTCTCTCTCTCCTGCAAGACAACCAGGAGCACATTTCGTCAACCTGAAACACGCCAAAAAAACTTGCCTTCGGATTGCTCTGCGCCTTCTGGAACGCCTCCATGGCCTTCGGATTGTTCATCATCTTCCCGATCATGTCACCCATGCCTCCCATCCCCCCCCCCCCCCCCCCCCCCCCCCCCCCCCCCCCCCCCCCCCCCCCCCCCCCCCCCCCCCCCCCCCCCC